GAGTGGTCTGCTCTGATGCTGGCGCACTGGAACCGCGATCGCTCCTCGCGAGGCCGCTACGTTGCGCTCGTGGTCGGCTACTTCTTCAACCGCATCGTCTACCTCGGCCATCTCGTCTACTTCGCTCCCGACTTCAGCACACCCACCACGGGGCGCGAGGCCGTCTGCCTGTGGACGCTGCGACTACTGCACGCCCTCATGTGCGTCTGGTTTGCCCAGCTGCTCGGGAAGCGCTCAAAGTACAGCTGGAGCTGGCACGGCGGCAGTGCCGCGTATCAGCAGGCAAAGCAGCAGGAGGAGGCAACGCCGGCGCCGGAGCCAAAGGCGGCAGCACCGCCGCCGGCAAAGGCGGAGCCTTTCCCAGTCTCGGAGGAGAAGGCCGCACTGATGCCGCGCGCGGGCTCGCCGCGCGAGCCGCTTGCCGCTTGCTCGCCTAACAGCGAGACGCGCACCCGACGCAAGACGCTGATGGCGCAGTGAGGGAGAACGGACGCGCTCTCCTCCATAGTCCGTACAGGTACAGGATGGTCTCGCTCTCGGGGAAGGGAACTACATGTAAGGGATAAGGGCGCCGGTGTCGATGACATGTGTTGGTGTCGAGTGCGGGAGGGGGAGTGTCGATGCTGGCATGTGGTGGGGCGCATGAGGTTCTTTTCCAAACGACTAGGTATGTATCCTCGAGCAAAGACGTAAGACCACGCGCGCCCTCCACAAGTGGTCTCTGTGAAGGGGTTGGTACTGGTAGAAGTGGAGAAGTGGTCCCATCGGCATAGACCATGTCCCAATGCGCAATGGTCTCCCGCGCCCACACACGGTCCACGCCACACACCGGCCCAGAGACGCCCCCTCGCATCTCCACACCCGGACACGGGTAGGACTACGAGGAGCCCCACGGCATTCAAAGTGCAAGCATTGGCCCGGTGCACGTGGGTGAGCAGCCTGCCCCTCCCTCCCGACAAACCAACTCCCGCACACACACAATCGCACTCTGGCCATCGAATGACTCCGAATGACTCACTGTGTGTGCTACACTGGGCTGGGTTTTTAGGCATTGTGGGGTTGGCACTCCCATCGACCCTCATGACCTCCTGCCTGCGGTCTCTGAGACGGACACCAGTGGGTGTGGGACCACAGCCAGGATACACTCAAAGGCTGGGTAAGCAGTAGGGGTCGATACTCGACGCGTCCCACATGG